TGAGGGGCAGATCTCAAGCCTGGACCAAGTCCCAGCTGGCTTTGTTAGAAAGCAAACTGGTTCACTGAAGAGTGTGAACAAACAGGCTGGCAGCACGGATGATCTTGGCTCGAGTGCAAACTCAAACCTACGTCTGCCAGGGATTCCATTCATCGTTGTCTTCTAGGGTCTGTATTGACACTGAGGTCAAGAATTGCGGTATCGCAGACTCAGAGGCCTAGGAGACAGGTCCATCTCATTTCTAGGCAGAAACGCCAGTGTGACAGATCATGCCCTTTATATATTTCAGGCCACATTACCAGACCACTGCATGCAGGACTGATGCAACTAATGCCTGGAAACAGATGGGTAACACTACACCACTGGTGACCACAGTGCCGTTTCTAAACCTTCTGACATTGTTTCTAAACAAACCCGCTGCTCCAAGACACCCACACCATGGAGTATACAAACTTTCTGCCCTTTTCTTGCTCTACATGCAAATACAAAACAATAGTGAGTTTTTCAGGTCCCATCCCACTCATTACTGTTCACTTGCTCTCTGCCACCGAATTATTCTTGCCAATGCATGAGACAACATTGCATGGGCTAACCAAGAAAGTGAAGGAAAAGCACTTCCATGCTAACAATGGCTACAGAGCAAAAGTGTGTTGGACTATCTTCTTCTGGCTTAGTTTCCTTACTCGCTTAGTTTTGCACCACAGAGGTACTACAAGTTAAATCACTACACAACAATTTCCATGAAATAGGACATTAAAGTCACTTAAGGAGAAACACTCCTTCCTTAACTGCCATCTGTCTTGTAGTTCATTTCATGATGACACGTAGGTGTTAAAAATTGAAAACAAGCAAACACAGACTTCCAATTCAGGGGGAAGAAATCAGTACAGCTCTACCGGGACAGCCCTTTGGAATTCAAAACGCTCTCCGATGCACTAGTTCAGCAAGCACCATCTCGGCAGACCGAAGCTTGGGATATTTTCACAGCATGCTTATTACTTTTTCAAACAGAATTCTCCAACTGGTTTTGAGTATATTCTGGCGTAAACTTTTGCAACGTGAAGACAGCCTGCAGAGCTGCACGAGCAATTATCTGAACCCTTTGTACCCAGCAGCCCCCATACTTGGAACCACGCATTTATTAATGTTTCCTCCAAAATGCTACAACAACCCATTTCCTTGCCACCACCTTCCCATCACACGCCAAGGAGGTAAAAACATGAATTGATCCCATGAGCTCCGACCTCAGCAAGGCTGGAACGAATCTGTAAGCAGAATGATTAAATGAAACAAAACGTTAACACTTCTGTTCACACTTTCACCAAGCAGAATACAAAGTGGGCAACCGTGCCCATACCATCTCTTTTCCCCTAGCGCCCCAAAAATCTGAGAGAAGGATGGGGAAACAGGCAGTCTGCGTCAGGCTCAGGGGCCGAGGAGAGCAGGAGAGCACCTCTCCAGAAGCTTACGCTCCTGTAAGTATGGGCCTGAACACAACAATCCGTGTGCAGCACCCACACGTCCGGCGTGAAAAGTGTCAGGCTTCAGCTACAGTACAAAAAAAAAAAAAGAAGAAAAAAAGCCAAACCCAACCCAACCCGTGGGCCGTACGGAAACGCCTGTAACGGAGCGCGCTCAAACGGGCACGGGAAGCCAGCTGTCTGAGGGACGACATGCTCGCCGTGACCCCATCGCCAGCGGGCAGCCCTGTCC